TTGGAATAACTGAAAACATTACATATATATACCACTTGTTAAGCAAGTGTGAACCCAGAGGTGCAATGTGGAAATTAATGATGATAATACATATGCATGATATAAATACAAAAAATAGTAAATAAATAAGCGAAGATACTAAAAATACAAAATACATGTCAATTAAGGCATATAGGTACATTAATCTGGTAAGTGGCCAAGTATGGCCATTGGTCTTTTACTATACGAAGGGTCGTTTACATCATAATCATATATCCTGATGACAGGTTATTTGATCATTAAAGAACTTGCCAGTAGTGCAGCAATAGATTGACTTAAGCTACTGTATGCGTAATTCCTCATGTAATTTTAGATTTCTCACGTATCACGGAGAATCAGTAATCTGCCTCAGTATACAATTCTGGACAGTTTGTAGCTTTTTTCTGACAGATTTGGATAAGTACGCCCAAACCGGGCAGCCATAACAAAGTATGGGACGCAACATGGATGTATAAATAAGTAACTTGTTGTCTATAGAAAGTACACTGTTTCAAGCAAGAGTGAGCGTTTACCTGCTCGAAACTTTTTAATGATAGATGTAATGTGTGGGTACCATGAAATATTTTTACTGAGGGGAACCCCAAGATAAAGGACTTGCTTGGCCCAGGGAATAGATACTTCATATAGCTGCAGGTTCTTTTTGAACTTCTTTTTCTTCGTGAAGAGCATAGCTTGTGTCTTATTGACGTTAACTTTGATCTACCACTTGGTCAGCCAAGTTTAAAGTGTATATATGCAATCTTGCAGGCGTTGTATAGCTGGACTAACAGCTATACATCAACGAGTTAACAGCATGAGGATAACTGCCCTCTGGGAAGCATAGTTAAACCTATTTTCTGAAACTGAATTCTTTTCATTTATATAATTGAAATTTACCCGCAACTGAGTAAGAGTGTAATAGACTGAGGCGAAGAAAAGGAAGCATTTTTAGATAAATAGAGAAGGGAGGTTACAAAAGATTTCAAAGCAAATAGCAGTGCAGAGCAAATAGTAAACAAAGAGTATAAGAGACGAAACGTCCAGCTCGTTAACAATGGAATTAAATTCAGGATATTGGCTTTCTACAAGTTTTAGAGATGTAAAAAACTATCACGCATTGTATTTCATCCTGTCTTGAGGTAAGGCTTTACTGATCGAAAAGCAACCTTTTCGACAACACCTAGATCATTTTATTTCGAATCATCTTTCCTAAGTATTGATTATGCACTTTGAGCTCACATCTACAGCCAACTGAAATTTGAAGCTCACTTTATCCGGTTTATTTGGCATGTATTGCAAAAATGTACAGCACGTCTATGAAGGAAAAAGCTGCTCATTTATAGTAATGTGTTCTCCTGGTTTATAACACATAAAACAGTTTTCTATGAAAATATTCCAAACATCTGATATTAGAGCAAATTTATCATCTTTCAGTCTATCTGATCATGAAAATTTTAAGTAAATACGCATATATCGCATGATTTCTAAAAGTATGCTTCGGCTCATTGTTGAAGGAAAAAAATTGTGACCTCAGGTCTTTGACGAAAGGCTGGTGACGCTGACCCCTTTCGCAGCTAAAGCTCCTCGAATATATAATACTGGAATAAAGGAATCCAGTTCATCAAGAAAAGTACTCCAAGCTTCATTATTTGGTTTTGATCTTGCTCCCACTTCTATACATTTCTTTATGATATTCAAAATTTTATCATTTACGAATCGTCTCCAGGACCTTACAGAACTGTTATCAGCAATTTTTCTTTTGGAGTATGTTTTAGGTCCTGGATTTTCTTTTAGAATATTTTGAATAGACTGTCGAAGAGAAGAAACTGAACATTGCTGATGTATTTTCAATATAGTTCTATCTTTCGCTTCTTCCAAATCGCTTTGAAGGAGGAATTGCTCTTCTTTATTTTTTCTTCACTTTTACAATTCTCTGTTGTTTTATAAACTCCTGAACTGCATTTACTTTGGAATATTTTCATTCAGCTCTCTGTTGCATTAGCTGGATTCGGAAGATGAGATTATATCCCCCAATAGTTCTTTTGTCATTTATAACAAAATTTTCATTATCATCGGATGCATTTGCGCCGCAAGAATCATTTTCTGAAAGCTCATTTAGCAATTTCAAAATTTCTTCATTCGAAAGATCTCTCTTTCTGGGTGGCATCACTAAACGAGTGCAAAACAAGAATGCCACTAATTGTTGAGCTATGTCGGAACAATTAATAGAGCGAAAAGAGATACCTTGAAGAAAACAAAAAAGGAATTATATTCAGCGACCTTCATGGCACACAATACCGCCATGCTTGCTTCCTACTAATGTAAAAATACAAAAATTAATGTAAAACACAAAAATTTAGTTCTTCTTAGCACATTGCATTCTTCATTAGACGTTACTCAAAATGAGAAGAAAACTCTTGAAATAATAATTTTTTACAATTCCACAAAATTTGGAGTCTACGTTGTAGATCAGAGGGCAAAGGAATATTCCGTGAAATCTGCATCAAGGCGTTGGCCATTGCCTGTTTTTTATGTGCTGCCAAAATCTTAAAATATCTATTCTGAAATTAAACATTTAAATTTTCATAAATTGTACTATTAACTAAATTTCCTATTATATAACATTCTAGACGCTAAATTTTATCAAACATTAATTAAAAATCATTGCATTAATCATGAAACACTTTATTTTCTGTATGTATCTCCCATAGAAATTAAAAATATCATTGCTGAAGGTCCATCTGTCAGCTATGACCGATCCCGGTATTTCTAGGTATGTAAGAAATGCGGTAATACTAATGTTAATTCTAGTGTTAATACTAGTGTTAATACTAGTGTTAATCTAGTATTAATAGTCAATGACACCTTATATAGAGATTTCAAAATTGAAAGTTTCGAGGAATATGTCACCACGAAGGCTGCTCTCCGAATATTTTCCAACAATTCTTATTACTCAGTCCTGAGTTTACAGATATATAACTGCAAACTCATTACAGAATTTTGAAAGCTTGAAGACACTGATTATAAAACTTCCGGTCACGCATATCTATGAGATTTCATGTATGTCCCCCTGAACTACAAAGGATTCTTTTGATTTGGGTAGAAATGGAAACTGTTTCATTTTTATAATTCTTGCTCCAAATTAATCGGTGATCTGATTTAAATCTATTCTGTGCATTGTTAGCTTTGTTTGTTTAAGGTAGCTTTTTTTTTTAAGAGACTCTGCCAGCTTTGAGGAAGTGCATGGAAAAACCATCAATTACAGAATTAACTTTGAAGTACAAAGAAGGGAAGAATTAACTTTTGTTGATTCTTCACTTTGTTTTTGTATAACACCTGTTTCCCCCCCCCATTCCTTCTCTTTTCGTTTTACTTTAGCTTGCAGCGTACATTGCAAACCAGCGATGGAAAATATTTATGGTGTTCTCTTTTCTTTCTTTGATGCCCTAAGCACGTGCTTGTTTTGTTTATTTGTTAACCTAGCTATAGGTGTCCCCTTGGTTACAATGAATTTGTGGAGTTTATGTAGACTACATCAGGACCAGGAGAATAAAAAAGGAAAGAAATACGTATTTATTTCCCGGAGATCCTTTCTATTCTTTCTTCGGAAATCCTTTCTATTCTTTTCTTGCTTTTGACTTCGAAAAATATTGCGATCTTACGAAATGTAAAATGAAACTATAAGGACTACTGGTATTAAAATGAAACTATTCAACGAACTTTGTATTGCACTAAGGTTAAGAGAAGAGTAAACTTTTTTATTTTTGTTTGTTTGTTTGTTTTCGCAGACTTTCAGTCGATCACCATCTCAACTTCTCACTATAGTGTCTACTTTGGCAGATGTGTAAATTTGCCGATAATCGCTGATTGGTTAGTATTTTATAAAATAATGCATTATATGTTTCTTATGCCTTATGTAATATAATAGATCTGCGAATATAATTTATTGTGACTGACACAGGAAACAATTTAAGATGGCTCTAAAAAGGAAAATTCAGGGTAATGAACTGGATCTGAGTTTGAATCAGTTGACTGAAGTTCCAGTGAAGGAATTGGTGTGTATTTCTGTCTAGTTTAGTAATGTTAATATTTTTTGGCAGTTCGACAGTTATGTGTTTTAGAAATTAGAAAGGCTTATGTTTTAATGTTCGTTAAAATGGTACCTGCATTCCTTCGTTTGAAACCAAATGGTTTGAAATGAACTCATGTTTTTTACTTGTCTTTTATAGGCCAATGCTGTCAAAGCAACTAATGTCGATTTATCTTGTAATCTGATTGAGCGTTTGCCGGTAAGTCTTACTTCTCAAATATTTAAGTTGTTTAAGGAAGTAAAGCTGGATAAGATTTCTGCATGTTCCCTGTTAATGGTGTTTTCCCTCTCATGCACACCCGTATTTAAATATTTATTCCTGAAATTAAACTATAGTATGCTGATCATGGTATGTTCTTTAAAGTGCTATACATACTTGTAAAGTGTTTGCAAATAAGTAAAAAAATCATGTAATAAGTCTCTGTTCTAGACTCTTATGTTTGGTGGCTCTTGTCATCAAATTAAAGGGCAACCCAATTATTTTCTTATGTAAAAATCTTTATAACAGAAGAACTGACTGTAAAATTATTTTTTTATTTGTAACTGCAATTTTTTCACAGCTTACACTTCCCCTCTTATTTACTTTATTGATTTCAGAGGAATGTGTATACAGGACTGATTAATATATCAGGTTGCCTAGCTGCAGTGTTTCTTTTAGGGGCTCATTAATATATCATGTGGTTATAGCTACAGTGTCTTTTTCAGGTCCCCTGAACACCTGTGTTTCCCCATTTTTATGAAAAGAAAATAGGATTACCAAGAATTACAAAATAATTCTAAGGGATCCTAAAACACTGAAGTCCTGGCCTTGTGAGCATTGGCAGTAACTGGGGTTTTTTTTGATAGGGTTAAGAGTAAAGAAAAGTATCTGGTTCTTTTTTTAAAATTATTTCATGTATTCTCTCAAATGTAGCTTTTCTTATTTTACTATAAAGACAACTAAATCTTTTATTTTTTTCAATTTGCCACAGTTAAAATCATTTGACAATTTTAATTTAAAAAAGAGAGAAAAAATGAGGGCTAATCTTTACTGTACTGGTTTTTGTCCGAAAAAATCGCCAAGTAGTATTGGTTGTTCGTGGCCGAAAAAAATCGCCAAGTGGTATTGGTTGTTCGTGAAATCTGGAAGCCGGCTGTGTGAAATAGGTTTTTCAGTAACCCTAGTGTTGATGATGTTGCCGAAACTAGCCTTGTGGAAATTTTTTTTTTTTCTGTTTTTGTCATTAAAAAGCCATTATTTTTGCAATATTGCCAAATGCGTTGCAATAAATTTAGGCTATTTTTTGTAATAATAACCCTTTCGTATGGACCCGGGTTTTTGGTTCTTACCATTCTTTTCAGTTGCTGTGTTTGGTTGCACGTACGTGGTATGGTCTTGTATTTTTTGAACTTGCTGTTATTTTGCTGTGGGTACCATTATTTAAGTATGTTTGAGGTGACTAAGAGGATGAATGTTGATGGGTTGATGGGAATGTTATAATACAATTTTACCAAATTGTATTATAACCGTTTCATTTCATTGCAATGCATTTATATGTGCAAACACAATACACCTTTCTTAGACCTGATAAATGCAACTGTCAGAGTATTTTTTAAGTCCCTTTTTTAAAAACAAGTAAACTAGGTTATTTCATGAAGATAGGAAATGGGTTGCTTGTCTTATTTTATCATAGTTTTGATAGAAGACAGCTTAGCGGATAATATCCGAGAGTGTTTTTTCCCTAGTCACTGATCATATGGGAAAGATGAGAAAATTTAAATTATCCTCTGTTTTGCTATATTTAAGGAATCCTATTCATTGAAATATCTGTTTTAATGCACCATCTAATTCAGTATAAAAATAATTTTTCTGCTACATGAAGAACCAATATAAAGTGCTTTAGTAAGTAGATATGACTGTAAATATACTGTAGAACACTAATAAAAATTCCATAAGTTGAGTTAGTGCTGGAAAAAGAAATTATAAATTATTATTTTTATAATATTAGTATGAACGATGTTATTTGCAAACAGCTTTTTTTAATCATTATTTGGCATGGTTGCTGAGAAGCAACATCTGTTTTTACCATTTGCCAAATAACTTATTAAGACAATAAAGTTTTCCAGTTGAGAATATTTTATCAGGAAATTTGTATCCATTAGGATGCATTCAGAGAACTTAAATCTCTCTCTTCAGGAATTTCAGATAAGCAAAAAAACTTTCTAGTTGTTGGCCATGGATCATAATCAAGTGTTATGGCTCTCTTTTATACTGGAACACTAAAGAATTGTACTTGATATATATAATCATTTGAAGTAGTTCACACATATTCAGATTTTTGACTAATAATTTTTCTGCCTTTAAAGAAAATGGGTACATTTAGTACTAGTAAAATTCAACTGCTGAATTTAAATTGAAAAGTAAAATCTAAACTGAAATTTTGAATTGCCTTTTAAATTTTAGTAATCACAAAAATTGTTAGTTCTTGGATCTCTGTTTAAGTTGTTGATTTTAACATTTGTTTTTAATTTATTTTTAGTAATTTTCAGTTTTTCTTGCATGTCTTACTGTTTCTGTTAATACTGTTTTTCTCTGTTTTAGGAAGAAATAGGCTCTTTAACACACTTAGTGAAACTTGATCTAAGCAAAAATAAAATTACTGAACTGCCACTAAGTTTTGGTAACCTCAAAAACTTGGAATATTTGGATCTCTATGCAAATGAAATTGTTGATCTTCCTATCAGTTTTTATAGATTGAAAAAATTATCATGGCTGGATCTTAAAAATAACCCATTATGTGACGAATTAAAAGCTATAGCTGGAGATTGTTTAGATGATCGTCAATGTCGAGTTTGTGCAACAAAGGTAATGTTGTTCTTTGAAAGAGTCATTTTTTTAAAATAGAATGTCATGTTTTTGTTTAATTTTGAATTTAGAATATATGTAAAACCTTAGAGTATAAAGAATTTATATCTATTTTTTTTGGTATTACTTTTACAGGAGGGATATTTTTGTGAGAATTTAACCTACTTAAACTGATATTACAACTGTTGTATCGCAGAAATTTTTTAATTTAAACCTGGCTGTGCTATAAGTATTGTACAAGCATCTTCCTTCCCCTCATGAGAGAAACCTCCCATCCTTTATTGCTTTAGCTGATAAAAAGATCTGTGGGTGGTCCACAGTATCTGTTCATAGTAGTTGCTGGCTATGCAGTTATCTTCATTCTTGACAGCAGAGTAGGACATAATTCAGCTTGATTGATTAATTAATTGATTAATAATTGAATTAGAATATTATTGCAAATGTGAGTAATTCAGTTATATTTCAATTACTTATAATTACAATGTAATTGCAGCTGTAAGTACAATGTAATTGTAGTTTGAAATCCCTCAATTACAATGTAATTATAATTATAAGTTTTCTGATTACAGTGTTATGACAACTACAGTTAATTCAGTTACACTGTAATTGCTTTATAAATTGTACAATTACAATATAATTATAATTGCAGACAATTAAATTACAGTATAATTGTAATTACGTGCTTTATAATTACAACAACAAAATTATTGCCACAGTTATGCAGTATATGTACATTAACTATCATTACAATGTAATTACAATTAAATTTATAGTACTCGTGGTTTATTACATCTTGAGAGAGGCACATTATTTTTATTTATGATATAAAAAATTGTCTGCAGAAAACAAAATTTGCAGACACGATCATGCCTCTGAAATTGATGGTGAAATGAACGGAAATAATGTAGAAGCAACTTTCTGGAAGTGTTGCCAATGTACAAAGTATAAGATCTTAATTAAACTTTCGGTTAATCTTTGGATTATGGTAACTTGGTGATTTTTTGGCGACGAACTCTGCTACAGCAACCCTCTATTTTTTTTGCCGCCATTATGTTTCTTTTCTTTTTATTTACTGAACACTTTTTCCAACAATCTGCTATTCTAATTACACTTATGCTAGAAATTTTATGGAACAAAACTGCTTAATTGACAAATTAACTGCCAATTTGGAAAAATGCGTGCCGTGTTTTTCAGAATCGCATATACACATAAACCAGGTACACGTTGACTTATTTTACTTAAAAAAACATCCAGAATTGCACAAAAATGGCATTGCCCACTCTTCACTATATCCATGTACACTGCTTTTTCTCATAAATTAGAAAAATTTCAATGCATGAAAATTTTTGTGAATCTTAATTCGGTAAAAGAACATATATAAATTACCTGATCGCGAAAAATATATACCCTTTCCAAGGATGAACATTCCACGTATAAAATAAAAAAAATATCCAAATCTTTTACCTCAAATTTAATAATTATACTTCACCAACGATTTATCCGCAAGCATTAAAAATGGTTACCAAACTTAGTGTCAATTTAAATTTTCCATGCACGTTTACTTAACTGAAACGTATACGAAATGCTACAAACATAAAATTCACAAATAACTATCATTTAATTAAAATATAAACATGTCCACGTCGACTTACTTGCTTAAAAAAACATCCCAGAATTGTACAAAAGGCATTGCGCCACTCTTCACTATATCCATTACACTGTTTTTTCTCATAAATAGAAAATTTCACAAAAATGCATGAAATTTTGTGAATCTTTAAATCCGGTAAAAAAGAACATATATGAAATTACCTGACGCGAAAAATATATCCTTTCCAAGGATGAATTGCACGTATAAATAAATAATCCAAAAACTTTACTTCTAAATTATCTTATAAACGTCACCAACTTAACGCAAACATTAAAAATGCTTGCAAATACTTACTGTCAAACTTAAATTGTTGCCATGCACGTTTACTTCCACTGAAACGAACCAAACATACAACCTAACATACAACATGCAAACGTATACCATACATACCTACAAACATATAATTCACAAATACTTCATTAAAATATAATTAAATTAAAAAACCCACTTAAAATATAAGTAACACATACATTAAATTAATAAAAATTAGCTTCAATCCTAATCTTTAAATAAATCATTGCTAATAACAATTTCCAAGAATACCATATTACTTTGTTACTGCTTACATTTAGAACAATGCATAAATAATATCTCAAATAATTAAAAATACGAACTTACCAATCTTCTTCAGATCTTGATTACGTGGCGGATAAACTTTTCTTATAGATTAAATTCCAGTAGTCAACGGCATTCTATTCACCCCTAAAAAATTAATAAAATTTCCCCCTCACCAAACAACTTTCAGCAAACCACGTACCTTCCTTACACTCCGTTCACAAAATGTCCTTTCACTAAATTCGTGCACGCCATTCAAACTTATATGTAATATCCTTCCTTTCACACATCTATTTCATTCCCACATGTGGACATTCATACTTATCCGCAATTATTCCGACACTCGAACCATTCAACCAATTCTTGAATTTCAGATAAACCATTAAAAATTTAGAATTCACTTTATAGCGCCATGCAAACAAAAATTAATCAACACTCTTTCCACACACACAATAGCTTCATACAAAATAATATTTACACAGAATTTTTCTAAATTTTACCTCCTTTTCCGATTAAAGAACTGTAATTCGCCATTAATTCACTAACATATCTCAGGATCTCTCATTTCCCTCACACAAATAATGCGTAATCGGACTGAGTGCTTCTCACATTATTCCCAAAGTCCTAGGTAGTAACCTTTATCGCCTCCAAAATGTCGTCAAACTACCTGTTACCATATTCCAAAGATTAGCCAAACTTTCATTTTCCCTTGCATACATCAAATTGATTAATTACTACGTTCTCAGTCTCAGTGAATTAGTCGGAACAAAACTTGTTTTAGCTATTTATTAATCAACCAGGTATGGAGCTTCAAAACACTTTTCCCTTGACAAGTTCTGTTATGGAGCTCCAAACAAGGGAAATTAATCCATACATATTTACTTTCTTAATTTTTACTTTATGCATTAAGATCACTGTAGTTTTAGAATCTTAATTTTTACTTTATGTCTTAGGATCACCATATGTTTTTAGTTTTTTTTAGATTTTTACCTTGCTGTTTTCATATATTACAAATTCTTGGTGAAATTCATGTCTTCTTGCTGATGAGTTGGATACTATCTTAACTTTCTTACTTCATTTAAATTTAGCAGCTCTTCACGCTAATTTCTAACATTTAGTACAATTGTACTTCTCCACGCCTCATAAACTACTTCTTATCTCTAATTTCTCAGAATGTTGTAATTTGGCAAAGCACAAGATCTTTAATATTTAAGCTATCTTTTGTTGAATGAACAAAATGGATAATTAATTGTGGTTACTTTATAGTAATTACTTTATAGTAGTTAATATAGTTTACTTTATAGTAATTATTAATGGATCTGTAATTACAGTTATAGCGTAATAGCATTCAGAATTACAGTATAACTGCAAAAGCAAATTTTTTCTTAGCAGTAACTGTGTAGTTAAGATTTTTTTTTCAATAGTGTTAGATCAATTTGGGTTTGAATGCCGGTGAACAATCTAAATATTTGGATATCTCTATGCTTTCATGAAATCAAACCAGTTTTCCTGAGAAAATTCACCAAAAAGACATCCTTACCCTTGTATGTTTTGCTGCAAATGTACATGTATTTTATCTAGAATATTTCCTCCATCCACCTGTGGCAAAATTCTAAATCCATTTTTTTGCAAGTCACGTTTTTAAGAAAGGTTTTTATTAGTAGTTAATATTATTACTACAAGTTGCAGTTCACACATTAATTAAGCAGAATGCTCTCGGATAGAAAATGCCATTTTTTTGCAGGCAGCTGTCATCTTCAGATGCTTCTTAATATTACACTTGTTTGTTTCTACCTGAAACTACAGAAAATGGTACTTTTTTTTTTATCTTCTTACAATATTGTAAAATTGTAAGAACAAATACTATGATATAATAATTAATAATAAGACAACGAGAAAAACAAATTTAAAAAGGTAGAAGGACATCGCTCATGTCAATTAGTGTTTTATCTTAGATGGAAACTGTTTGCCTATTGCCTCTGTAATGGAATCAAAACAGTTCCTTCTGTTTGCTTCTTTTCCATATGAATTCTAACAGATAATATGTGTATTATAAGATATAGCAAGTATATTGTAAGATATTCAGACAAGCTCTCTAATTAAATACAATATTTTATTGCATATGCGGAAAAAAATGAAAAATTAATCATAGATTAATACTTATTTGCTTTCAGACATGCTAGTAATCAACATAAGGGCCATTAGCAGCCGAGTGATAAAAGTTGCTGAACGCTGATAGTTTGACCTGGTTCGAATTCCAGCGAATGGGCTGACTGGCTGCATGACAGTTTTTGGAGATTTCTCCATGCATAACATGGATTTGAGAGTTTCTCTTAAAAAGTCCTCCTTAAAGGCTTTCCTTCCCATGAGCAAACAGCCGTCAAATTGCTATGTCGTAAACAATTAACATTAAGTGTAACCAGTGTCATAGATGCAGACTTAAATTAAAATTGCACTGGCAGGAGTTATGCATTTAATATGTATGGTAATTACCTGTATGTGTGGTTTATTTAGTATTTAAGCAATATAATTACATAATACAATAACTGAATTTTTCTCTGGCATTCTGCAATTTCATTTGTTACAATACGGATTATAAGATTCTACCAAACTTAGGAACAAAAGTATAGCAAAGAAAGGAGTTATGTTCAAGTAAATACTGTATATAAGAAAAAAATGAGAAGGGTATTAAAAAAAATTTGTAAAACAAAGTGGTACAGGCCAATCTGTAAATAAAATAAAAGCAAATAGATAAAGGCAAACATGTTAAATAAAGCAGATTTTGAAAGTACATAAATTAGTGACTCTTCCTCATTTAGAACTAAATTACCAAATTATGCAGACAAGTGATCCAGTTGGATTTTTGTCATTTTAAATAATCGAGTTAAAAAATTTATCATTCTATGCTTTGCTACTTATTGTTAATTTCAGTGGTATTCAGACTCTTTGGCGGTGTGATCCCATGAAAATGCAGATGACCCCAAAAAACAATTTTGCAACCCCAATCAGAGTGTTGACCCTTAGTTATATGCCATCAATTCAAAGTTTTTAGGATTTTTATCCACCTTGCCACTTCTCTAAATTTTCACAATCTATAGTTTGAACAACACTGGTTTTTCTGAAATGTTTGATCATTTTGTTCTAAATGTCTCAAATTTAACTTTCAAAATTTGAATCATTAAGCATTTTAATTTTTACTTATTTATTAAACATAGGCAGGAAAAAAGGATGAAAACTTTTGAAACAATTTTTAATGTTTTTGCTATAATATACAGTAGGTGTATATCTGAGAATTAATGAGTATAATTAATTAATTGAAAGAAGTGCTTCAGTTAAAAAAATCTAGAATTAAAAATAATGTAAAGAATTGTTTCAAATGTTTGGGGGGATGATATTGGATGCCTTTAAAATAGCCATTGTCATTTCATTTTTATATATTTACAGAAAATATTACATACACTCATTTCATATTTGTAATCTTTTCGCTGGCTATATTTGTGTTTTTCTTGATATTAGTACAGTGGTGATCTTAGCGTTGGATTTGAGGAAAACATCGTAATTAAAATTACTTTTTGTCTAGACTCTAACGGATTGCTGTTAACAGTGTAAATAGATAGCTTCCGCAATGCACAGTTTATTGGAGAGAAAAAATGAGAACTTTAGATTGTTTCCTGACTTTTATGTTGGGGGAAAAATGTAGTAGAGTAAGCAGTTAATAATAATGAAATATATAAATAAGGTTTTAAACTAAAGAAAATAAATACCGAGAAAAACACAAATATAGGAAGCTAACCAAGAGCATGGGATATCATCTGACAAATGCGAATTTTACCACTTTCGTGGGAGGGGGGATCACTACTGAAAATTACTTCACATTAGAAAGTTGTAGAAAAGGAGTAAGAAATGTTTGTGTTTATTGCTGTACTGAAGTCTAAACTAGAGCATTTTGAACTGAAACTAGAAGGTTAGTATTCTGAAATTAAGTGGGGTATCAATTTTTATTGCCAATTATTGCATGTGTATATTTATTTCACTTAGAACTAAATGGTAGTTTTCCATTGCTGTTAGAAGTATCAAATATTTGGGCTATAGTTTAGTCTCATGGCTTTAAATATGCATTTTTTTTGTCTTATTTACAAACTAACTTTTGCATTTAATATTGTATTTTGCATATCAGGTTGTTGCTTACATGAAAGCTAAGAATGCAAGGTTTGAAAGTCAAAGACAGAAGCAACTACAAGAAGAAAAAGGTATATGTTTATATGGGCCATATATAGTATTTTGTTTTGGTGGTCATTTTACAAGTAATGCTACAATTGACGACTTGTAGTGATAGTAGGTATTGCTTAATGTGATTGCCTTTGTCCACAGTTATTTTGATAACATTAAATGATGAAAAAAAATTATTCAAAATACCAAAGGTTCTAATTTAATATAACTAGAAATTTACACAAATATGTGCTTTTACAAATTTTAATGAGGAAAATACAAAATTTCCTTTGTAAACTGTGTTATGCCTTTATGCAAAAGTTCATAAATCTTTTGTGCAAAAAGTTCATTTATGAACAGTCCACGAAATTTTTGGAAATTATTTGACTGTTGCTGTACCCTTAATCTTAATATTCAGAAGGCCCACATTCCAGCATTTGAATTTACTGATTTCATAATCATCATCATTTTTGAAAAGTTTATCGCACGCTAGGGTTGAATATGTTTCAGAAAGTGACTGGCAAATATCTTCTGTCATTCAGCTTGAAATCTTTAATCAGTATCCATCTATGCATTACATTCTCACTTAATGTTGGAGATGGTGCCTTTTACTCCACTTTCCTCTATTTCATTATTTATTAAAAGGCTGGCGTATTAAAACAGTTCAATTTCTTTTCTGAGATTGCTCCTAAGACATGTTTGGTATATGCAACACATCAAGATGGTTAGTTTTCTTTGCTAATTCATTTGCACTTATATCCATATCATTTATGCTATAATGACTCAAAAGTATTCTTTCATCACTCTAATAATTCATTGATTTTACAATAATAAGAAATGAATAAGAGCTGTGGAATGAATAGTGGAATAAGAGCAATATGCATTTATGTTGTGAGCTGTGTGGCTGTCAATGATAAAAAAAAAAAAAAAAAAAATTCTGTTCGTTTGATTATTCCAAAAGCTATTCATTAAAAGTACTATCCTCATCCATGGCATCCTATATCTGTAATCCTTTAATACTCTAGTAATTTAAAGCATCAAGATTTTTTTTTTCTTTTTCTAATTACTAATTAGCTTTTTTTTTTTTTTTTTTTTTAAATGCATGCTTTGATACCATATAAAATGGTCACATGTTCTTTCAATGTTTTACAGACCTTTTGAACATTCACTTTCAAATAATTATGTGTCTTAGGGCAGTGCATGATATTATAGATCTGTTTTGTTTGCATTATTAAAGTGTTTTCAGGATGATAGACAGTTTAGGCAATTTAGGTAGATGGTTTAGGTCATTCATTTAACAACTGTGTTCCTGCAGTGGGTAAACCAGCATCTTTTTCTTCAATATTGATGCATTTGTAAACAATGTTTTGTTTCATTTTCTAAGACCAGTCATATATTGCTGTAAAATAATTTTTCCCCATTTATTTTTAATTCTTCATGTTTCTGATATATCAAGGGACTACTAACTACCATGTTTTCATGTGCTTTTGTATTTCAAGCCCTCAATGCTTTCTGAGCATTGCATCATTTTGCTGTACACATGCATTACATGTTTTAAATTTTGCAAACATTAGCTTCACGATTCTCTGAAATCTTTCGTAAGAAAGATTCAGGGTACTTGCGTATTATCGCAACCAGGTTGGCGCGATTTGTAGGTTTGAGTAAAAAAGTAGGAATAGAAAGAAAATGTACATTTATTAATTACAGATAATTTTTAATACAGTTTTTTATTATTTGTTTAAAATATAAAATAGCAATAACCCTTCAGTTTCGAATTTGAATAAGTTGCCAGAATTATTTTTCGTGGAAATTTTGGCTATTGCTTTTAGCACTGATTGAAAACGTTTCGCCTTAACAGCTTGAGCTTGGCGTCATATAAATTGGATAAGGTATGAGTCAAGATGATAAACGGGCTGTTCGTCTTTTTTTTTTTTTTGTTGCGCCATTGGCTGAGCTCCCATACTCTCCATGTTGTGTGTGAACGCCCGTGTTGGGATTCACAAAGTTATATTTGTGATTAACAGTTCCATGCATAAATCCGCATTTTCGAACTACTTGTATTGTATCCTTTTCCAGCAATCCGAATAAATGATGCTTCCTTCCTGATATTTTCGCAAATTTTTCCATGAGGGTAACGGCGCTTCTGTTAGGTACAGTAACCAAAATAGTCTCTTTCTTTTCTCGCTCCCATTGCTGTGGTAATTAATAATTCCGCCGAAAACCCATTGCTGTGGTAGCACACGCCCAGTGTTGTTTTTTCTTTTTACAAATAAACTTTCGTATAACACGTAGGGTTGCCGTAAGTAGGGTCATCAAATTTGGCAATTTATGCAAATTTTGGCCTGGTTGCGTTAATACGTAAGTACCAGATTCAGAAATCTGTAACTTGAAGAACTGGATTCTATTGATTGAGTTCGGAGAACAGGTCTAATAAGATTTAACAAATTGACATTATCTAGACTGAGATCCATGCCTTTTCTTATTGTCCATGATTATAAAGTGATCGAAAGGGGTGATTATGAATGATAAAGTAAATAAAAGTGACTATATAATAAATGAGCACTTCCTTGATTTGAACATTCATGAAAATGTAAAGCTTACAACACAATGAACAGGTTTTTTGATTTAAACTTCTTGGTATGGGGACTCCATAATATTTACGAAAATTTTTGTGGGACCCCCAAGAGCATTGCGCAAATCCGACACGTGTGAGTGAAGCTATCAGTTTCTTCATGTGTACTGTAATATTGCAGTTTTAGTGCATTAACTTTAAATTTTAAAGTAAAATTAACATTTTTATTGTGAAAAAGTGTCGAAACATTTTCATTTTTTCTTTGTCTGTATTATCTTATCTTTATCTATTTTCTAATATATTATGTAAAAATATTTGGTAATTGTAAAATTATTATAATAAGTTAAAGAAATATCAAAATTGCTAAATTTTTGGTGAGTCCCTACTGCTGTTCCCATTAAGAAACACTGGTCTAGTAGATCTTTGTAAAACTTGGAAAATGTGTTCTTTTGTACATTATTGATTTATTGAGATTGGAAGAAAACTTGCCAGTGTAAAGTTTAAAATTATGCAAAAAAGCAACCATATTTTATTATAAATTTTTTTCAGAAGTAAAAACAAATTTTGCAGAAATTTTTTTTCGTCTGAAGAAGAGGGACCATGTCTGATCGCCTCAAACTTTATAGAGTTATTCAAAAATCTATGCCAAATTAAGGTTGCTTTTTGTGTAGTTTTAAATCATTGACTAAAATTAAAACCAGTCTGTTTAGCTATACATCCTCTTGGTAACTTTATTCAAAAATCCATTCTATAATATTTTGATCATATTAATTAAATTGCCGACAGCAGTAAGTGATGTATTTTATATATTTTTGCATACAAATGGCCGGGACTCGGAAAATTTGATAACAGTATTTGAATAACATTAACCGAGATTATATTAAGCAGTATCATACTGTATGACTAAAATTGTATGTTTGATATGTATTTATGCATTTTAAAAAATCAAATGCTGTTTGAATGTCTGCAAGCAGTTTATATATTAACTATATTATTAAAATGATTAAAATAGTTAAAGTAAATTAATTTCATTCTAAGAGCTTAAAAGCATTTTTCTGATAATGTAGTTCACAGTGTACTGAGCTGGTTTTTCAGAAGTACAGTATTCTACTGTAGGCAAGGACATAGTTTATAGTCAAGATTTTGGTTTAAAATTCCACCTGTCTCTGTAAAATTAAACTAACTGCCAAGTAATTTGCTAATTACTACAATGTGTTAAAATATATATTATTAAACTGAACTCTTTTGTCCACATTTTTTTAAAGTTTATGTTTTTTAGTGTTTCTCCATGTTACTACGCTTTTCCTCTTTTAAGTATGGCATTGATTTTCTGTTATTTTTATGTTAATGACATGAATAATTTAATTATGATAATTTGTCATGCGTTTTAAAATAGTTGTTGTACTTATTGTTATATATCAGCAGCAGCTAAACTTAATTGTGCATCGTCAGTTTAAATGTCTGATGAGAATGACTTAAGAGGTCTGTCCTATAAATATTCATTTTTGTTTTGATCTTAATGTACCATATGTAGCAAAGTTATTCTTGAATGTAACTGCTGTTTTGCTTTAACAAAAGGGGGTATGACAAACAGTATATGGAAACGTGGATTTATGCAGTGGGAGTCCATCTTACCTGAACTTTTAGGAGCCCTTTCCCAGAAGACACAGCATGTTTACTACTTTTTAAAAAATAATTAATGATTTTGGGAACCCCTCATGATTATGTCCTGAAAGATCCCATAAATCCATCTCTGGATATTATGGATTTATTTTTATACTAAAGTCAAAATAAAATAAATAAAATTTAGTATAATCCATAATCTATTTCAGAGGAGTTGTTTCATTTTTTTTATTTGAGTGCATTTTGTTTCATTTTCTCTTTTCTCGTAAAGAAAGAAGCATTTCGTTTCCTCAAAACTCAGCTTCTTTTGAATTCTACTTTATAAAATTCAACAATACAAAAGTTGAATTTCATGTATTGTCATCTAAAAAATAATAATGTATAATATTTAATGAAACAGCAGGTGTGAAAAATACAAATGTGATTTGAATATTTATCTATATCATTGGAAACAAACCTCATATGTGTTAAAAGTTATGGTTAAGTTTTATAACATAAGTCGTATGCAATTCTGTTTTTGATTTGTTGGCAATTTCCCCAAAAGACCTTAAATGAGAAGCACTGAAATACTACTACATTAAAATTCTGTAGCATTAGGCTATTTGGTAAGCACTGATCGTAATTTAGTGTTATTATAAATATATGTATATATAATATTCGAAGTTTAGTATAATGACATTAAAGAAATGATACAGGAACTTGTACATAATGATGAAGATGCAGTCAATGGCCAGTTGAGATAGTTTTTGTTTTTAGCATATTATTCTTGAAATAAACAGATGTAGCAAAACGGCTATGGTAGATAAACCCTTTATTCAATAACTACAAATGTATTTCTTCATATACTCTCAGCAATACAGTTAGAAAAAAAAAAAAAAAAATAGGAGCCTTAAGGGACTACTGCTATAGAATATTTATCTTTCATAAATACATTGTGAATAAAGTAAAAGTTATTGTTTTATAATCAATGCTTATTATCTGTTGTAAATTATTTGTGTTTAATTCGCAGCATGCTGTTGCATTATTCAGTCACAACAGTCATCTGTTTTTCCATGTTAAGCTGATAATTTTTGAAATAAAAATGTAGCTGTTTGTAGTACATATTGACAGATTCCTATTATCAATTTGTAAGCTTTAATTCAGTTAACTTCAAAATAACTATCTTTGAGTCTTTTGTAGATTGCAGATAATTCATTTATTCATCAGGATAAACATAAAGCAATTATACTTACTATAAAACAACATCAAATTAGTTGTAAATTTTTTATTTCAAAAATTACCCCATTCTCCAAATGCTTATGAAAGTCCTATTTTCTTTTTCATTGACCATATTAAATCAAAAATGTTAGTACCCGTTATTAATAATTTATTCTGAATATTGAATGAAAATTTGAACGTCACAGGAGTTGTAGTTAAAGTAGCATTTTGTATATAATTTGTGCTCTGGATGTCATACTTTGATGGCTTTTTAGTTAATCTGAAAATTAGTTATCTTTACTTTCATTCATTTCACAGAAATTTTTATTACACATAATTGCACATCACAAATTATCAGACTTTGAGCATATGATAGGGCATCAGAAAATTGCAGAGATACAGCCAGTACATTGCTGGAGATGTGCTTTGAGATGCTAAGAGTTCATTGTGATGCATTGTCTTCATAAACACACAAATTTATGAACACCAGCCATATGCAAATGAAATAATAAATTCTTAATGTCTGCCTCAAAGTATGATGGCCAACAGACAAGCTGCTTAAAACCATTGCAAATTTCAAAGTGTAAAACATTTTTAGAGACTGTCCATCATAGCATGCCATGAGATGTGGTAGCCAAGGACTTTATCATGTCATATTGCTGGAACAGTGGCACAGAACTGAATAACTGATTTTGAGGTAGGAGAGAATTAAATATTCATTAATGGTATCTAACATAGCCTAGTGAATCTATATTCCAATTGTTTTGTGCTCATGAGTGTGGGGTAGATCTAATGAAATACTGTACCCTTTTTCTGCAAGACACTATCTAAGCAGCTCTGTGATACTGTAAGCTATGCTCATATGGTGTACACTACTCTGTCTTATGTGTTTGAAGTTATAATATTCCAAACTACTTTGTCTATGCTGAATGTAGAAAACTTATTGAACTGTGTTAGTGACTTATCGCCGAGTCCAAGTATTTAATGACAAATTCCAGAGAAGGGTTAAAATACTCTTTTATTCACTCAAATAATAGTAGATGGCTCCTTCTTAGACTTACAGGAAAACCTCTACTTGGGCTTTAAATTAAAATAAGAAACTAATCTAATAATACTAAACTAAACTGACTTAGCTGAAGCTAGACACATTTAACTAACATAGTTGCCCCTTAATTAAATTAGCCAGCGATTATCAACAGGCACGTGCAGTACGGCCAAGTATAGTTAGCTTAATAACGAAGTAGCATGACGGCAAACATGTCGGCAAACACGTGCCACTAAGGACTCCTAAGCTCTCCTACTGAAGTAAGCTGAACCTTCTTTAAATACTCCTTCTACCTCATTTACATGCAATATAATGCTAAAAACTCATTCTAGTAAAGAGTTGTAAGTGAAAACCAAGAATTTAAATGAAAGGGTTTCAAAGTAAAAAGTAACTTTGAAAATTATTATTAGTTAATTATTAGTTAAAATAACTTATAAAATTAAAATTAATGTTGCAAAGTTATGACTATCTTGAAGTTCATCTGCATCTCTTTGTGCCTGTTAATCATCTAGTTGAATGAATATTTCCAACAAAGTAATGCAGCATTTGTCCTGTCTTTTATTACCAAAAGGTGGATTAAAGATCATTCCACTGTCTTTACATGTTTGGTATGACATTCCCTTGATATAAAACTAGTACTTGTCTTATAGTAGTTGGGGTGCACAGTGGGAGAAAAGCATATGATCAACTTATTAAACTATTATTGGAGAAAAGCATATGATCAACTTATTAAACTATTATTGGAGAAAAGCATATGATCAACTTATTAAGCTAACAATTATAACCTACATTGTAGAATTGTGGGCAGCTGGAGAATGTTACTGGCGACTCATTAATTCCATGACTTGACATGTAGCTGCCAGCTGAGAATGAGAAAGATTAACTAGATAATTTGATATTTATCCTTTGACTTCTGCCCTCTCAATGTATGAAGCTTTAAATTTCATCTTCTAACTTTGCTTCACCTGTAAAAAAAATGTTTTACATGTTGCTGAAATTTTGTTGCATTATTCAGAGAAAAGAGCCATCAAACAAGCTGAAATGGAGCACCTTCTTGAGGAAGAAAGGAAAGCAAAGAAAATTATGAGAGAAAAACGAAAAGCTGAGCTTAAAGCCAAAAGGGATCTTCCAGAAACAGAAGTTAACAGAAGTTATGGTGAATACTTTATATACTTGTCCAGTTAATACAGAATATTTTATGGTTGAATATATTGTTTGGACATAAGCTTGAAAGCAAAAACTAATCTGTCACTTAATTTTCCTGTTCTTTCTATATGTATTTTATTTATTTATTTATTTATTTTTATATTTTCTAATGGTGCCTGGAAAATTGTATCAGCATATAATCAGCATAATTAGATCTATTCTTATCACCTTAAGATTCATATCTGTCTGTCCAAAGCATATTTATCAGTTTTCATTAGCTTTTGTTTTGGGGGGGACGGTTATATTTTACAACTGACATTGTCAGTTTGTAAGAGGACTAAAAGCCAAAAATTTTTTGTTTTGTCTTCACTTTTTTTCCTGATGATGGAATTTGCTACTTATCAGGTCATTCATGTCAACTATCAGCTGTACAAATAAATAACCGATTATTAACCGTGAAATAAATTAATTATTCTAGATTTTAATTTTATTGCAATTGATGTTGACATCTTTTGAATTAAAAAAAAAGTTCCTTTTTTTTATATAAAACTTCTTTATTTCTATTCTGCAATTTAATGATTCAAAATATTTTCTGTGAAACATAAAATTTTTTATAATATTTCAAAATAAGATTAATTGAAATAGAATGGAGATGTGTTGTTTACAGATTACATGAAATGACAAACATTGCCAGTTTGTAAGAGGAATAAAAAGCTAAAACTTTTTTGGGTTATCTACATAATTTTTTTTTTCCCCCTGATGATTGAATTCTGCTACTTAGCAGGTTCATTGATGTCAACTATCAGTTGTACAAATAAATAACCCAATATTCCCATGAATTCATTTTCTAGGTTATTTTATTGCATTGATGTTGGCATCTTTTGAATTATAGAATTTAAAAAAAAGTTTTTTTAATGAAATTTTGCTTTATTTCTAATCTGCAAGTTAATGATTTAAAATATTTTCTGTGAAACACAACATTTTTTATAATATTTCAAAATAAGATTAACTGGTTATTTTTTGGATATTCAGCAAGCTGAGCGATTTGACCTGTTTTCTGTTGGTATTTTTCGTTGTAGCATAACAGTTTCCTAAACATATTTGCCCAACACGTTTTTAAGAATGTAAAACAGAGTGTAAGGATTTGAAATTCTTGTTATCTCCCTCTCCAGAATAACCTATCCAATTCTAGGAAATTGTAATATAAATAAGGAAATCTAATTTTTTTTTTCCTTCTTCCCTGAAAGTGTTGTCTCATCGTAAGCTTTCTTAATACTTAATATTGGGCCCCAAGACCATTTTTTAACAGGCTGTTTTAACTGAAATTTGCTGTAGGAGAATGCTTGAGGAAAATAACTTTGCGAATGAAAATTTCAGGGATTCTTCCCTTGATTAATAATAATTTTTAAGCTTTTAATGTGCTATATATTTTTATGTATATATATTTATTTAGCTATTTTCTTCTCTGTTAAGCTTAAAACACATTTAAAAATTATCTTTAGAGATATCAGCTTGAAAAAGAGATGCAGAAGTAATGCACATGAAGAGTTGTTATTAATCTAGGTTGCTTTCTTGCTATGAAATGTGCATGAAGGACTTCTTTAAATATTGCACAGTAATTAATAGACAAATCTCAAACTTCAGAAAGGAACGAAATTCAGAATTATCATAGTAAATATTGATTAATGGGAAAAAAAAATCTGATGATTTCAGGAAGCAAAGTTGAGTGATGCTTTGTTTTTTAAAAATCTAAAATCAAGTCAAACAATTTGAAATAAAAAATTATATAGAAAATTAAAATAATTCTTGTTTCAAAACAAAATCAAGGATTTTAGAATATTTTTCAGCTGTGCTTAATATGTCATCTTTTAATCTGGTTTGAATGACGTAAATACATCATATTGGAATCAAGATTTATATGGATAACAGGATTAAGGAATTATAGCTCATGTCCTTCTGAATTTCCTTTATTTTTCCATTTTGAAATTTTATGTTAATTTTTTATATGCACATAAATATATAACCAAGAGGTACTTATTCCTGAAGTGTTATTTAATATGAAAAGCCATAGCCGAGAGCAAAAGAGATAAATGCAAGAAAAATTTTTGAAGAAGCAAGGAACTCTCGTAAAGATAAATTGAAGTATTTTGTTCCATAAAGATATATCCATCAAATATTTCTTTTAAAGTAATTTTTGTATTAAAAAGGGGGGAGTAAATACAGTATTAAAAAAAAAAAATCCTGGCTTCTAAGGCTTACCTTGCAAATTCTGCCATTATGCATATACCATTATGCCATTATACATGTATGCTGTTGGATCAGCAACACTTAGAATTTTGAAGAAAAAAAATGTTAGAATTGAAATTTTAGCTTTATTAACCCTTTGTTGCATACAAATAATCTAGAGAAGTTAAACGAAAATGTTTGTATTTTTTCTACTTAAAATAACCTTAGTAATAATTAAAAAAATTAATTTTATTCAAATTTCGTTTTAAATAATTGCTACAGTGGACAGCATGCATATACGTACATGCGTACAAATATCTTCCCAACGATTTACGGTACGGTCAATGCATTTGAAATCATTTCCTGTCTTGTTTGCAGTGATCATTACCATCTTCTAAATGGTAAATCTACAACTGACATGTACATACAGATCCTCCAAAATACCTTTATTTTGTCAATTATGATTAAATTCATTTTGCTACGATTTTGTTACCTGTACCTATTGGAATTAAAATGTTCAAATAGTTCTAGAAATTCCATTGCCAAAACATAAACATTTCCAGTGGATGTTTTGGCCTTGTTAAGCAGTACATTTGGGTTTCAATTCACTCTTTTTGGTAGATCTTTATATACTCACTCCACAATTTTCTCAAACTGACATTTAAAATAAAATGTCTAAAATTACTAATTATGAAAAAAAAAATGGCAGTATAAGAAAATGTAAGCAATATTATATAATGTTTACTATAAGAAATTGTACTAACATGGAAACAGAAGTAGCAGCCATTTTCCAAATAGCAATGCTTTACTTAGTGATGCTATATAGCCATCTATGATCGACAGTTGAAAGTTCTAATATTAAAGAATGAATAAACGCAGGAATGGAATCTACAGAAGAATAAGGAAATTTAAACTTTTGTCTACTAGAGTGGACATGATGCAACAAAGGGTTAAATTTTCTCTGACTTTATTGCCATGTTTTCTATTTTTAATTCCAGGAAAATGTGCACTGTACACACACACACAAAAAAAAAAAAAAATGGGACAATTCTGTATCTGCTGTTCTACTGAGCCAATTGGCGAAATTCAGATTGTGTGTTTGTCTCGAAAGCGCGACTTAGGATATGTATTAGATTTATATATAACATTGTTCTAACATAGGTATTTTGACACAAAATCAGACTTTTTCTGAAATACGTACCAATTTTTTTCCATATTTCGATTCTACGACTCGGATTATGCCTAGATATTAAATTTTGTAAAATTTGGTGCGAAATTTATGGAGAAATTCAAAAATTTATCTTGGGGCAATTTTTTTTCAGTTGCACCAAAAAGAATTCACTTGCCGACCTTCTTAATTTTCCTTTCCCTTCCATTATGCCAGAGCGGAAAAAAGTTCACCTCGTTCCTACCTTTTTCCATTGTGCATGAGCAAAAAAAGCCACATTGTTCCTACTTTCAAATAATTTTAGCAATATGTCTAAACCACATTTAATGTTTAATTGCTTTCAACAAATACGCCAAATTTCAAAATGAGCCAATATATAAATTCACGTATATCTTCAGAAATTTTGAATAAAAAACTAATTTTTTGCAGTTATGCTTAGAAATACGTCTACTTTAAGATGATGGTAAAATTTTATAGATTATAATTCAAAAAATTTTTTGAAAAAAATTATAAAATTTATTTAAAAATACAAATTTTAAAAATAAATCATCAAAAAATGGGTGAATTTTATTTGGAATGAACCTGAATTTTGAAATGTGAAAGGAAGAATTAAATAAGTGTAATAAAAAAGAGAGATTAATAAATATATACCAAACATAATTAACATTGAGGAGCTAAAATTTTGAGAGCTCATGTTTTAAAAACTACTTGTGTGATTTTTACAAAACTTGGTATTCTGGCCTAATTTGAGTCGTATAATGGAAATATGGAAAAAAATGGTATGTTATTTCAGAAAAATTTCAATTTTGTGTCAAAATACCTATATTAGAACAATGCTATATATAAATCTAATACATATCCTAAGTCGCGCTTTCGAGACATGAGAAACGCAAGCTGAATTTCGTCAACTGGCCCATTAGAATGGGAGATATAAAACTGTCCACTTTTTTGGGGAAGGGGCCTCAGCGTACAATTGCTATTTTTAAGAATCTGTTCCTATTTACTGCTGGTTAAATAAATTTGTTCATTGCATAAAATGTAACCCAACCAGCTAAGAGATACATTTGAGGGAAAACTTCAGAAAAGTTAAGAATCAGTTTATTGTTTACTTCTGTTTATCACATGAATGCATAATTTATTTTAAAAGAGAGAAAGGATACAAAGGTTTAAGGATTTATTTAAAATGAAAAATTTACAGATTTATAATTCATGTTTGCTGTAAAAAGAAAGTACTAATGCTCATAAGAAAATGTTAATTAAATTCCTTAATAAAGCAGGTATGCTTTTTCAATCAAAATGTAATAAATGTAGCATACTTTTGTCAAAAAGTTTGTTAGCTTATTTATGTAAGAAAAATCTATATTAATTTACAAGACTCAATTTTCTAGAAATTGAAATTTTGTTTGCATCCAAAAATAAGTGCAGATTACAAATATTTGTGGATCAAGCAATTGTAAATTATCATATTCTGATGCATTCTAAGTTTTTATGATGTAGGAGTTTCCAATGTTTGTGGAACATAAAAAGAATAGTAAATTCTACTGGTTTGATTAGGTTATGTTAATTTTTAATGTCTAGTCTTATTTTATGGAATTGTCATAAATTCCACCAGGGTCTTGACAGCAATTAAGGATATGATTAATATGTATCACCCAGCATGCTTTGCAGGGCAGGAGACTTGTTATAAACACCCTATACAGTACTCTAAAATCTAGAGAATGCATCAAATCATTTCAGACAAATATCAGTTTGGGATAAACCAGAGAGTAAAAGTTTCCATTACATATAATTTAATTAACAATCATGCATTGTGTGATCTAATAAAGTATAATTATAACTCAGCAAATAGTCCAGTATAGGTTTGTGTAAACTAAATTGTTAAAAGTTAATCCATGTATAAAAGACTATTGATTCTTGTTGTATGTTAATTGATTAACTCAGCTTGAATTAATTATATGTTTTAAGTATCACTTCATTTCAAGAATACTTAATGTGTAAATACTTTGTCTTCATTCATGTATTTTTTATCTTCTGCAAGCTGTTTTTCAAATTTATTAGCAGATTCAGTGCATGTTCAGGAATTGCTCAGTACTTTTTTTTTTTTTTTTTTTTTTGTACTCAAAGGAAAACTAAGTCTTGAATTAGTTGATATGTAAATTTGCTGTTGAGAACAAATAACACACATTAGATTGGCATAGTTATCAACTTGTTAGATAACTGAGTTTTAAAAATGTGATGAGAAAAATTACACAGATAAATGATTTTAATGATGCATGACACATATTTTTAAAATAATGTTTTTCATTTATTTGGTTTATTGCTGCTAAGTAAATAATGATCTGAATATTACTAAACTAGTCACCTCTTTGTCCCAAAAGATAGGGTTAAAGCAGAGCTTCTTATTCTTATGTGAATGTGTGCCTGAAGAGCGTATAAATGGGGCGTAAATTGGTGAAAGTTCTGATTTTGCATCTATGCATTATCTGTATATAATTTTTATATTAACAGGTGTGTAGAAGCATTGTCTCATGCATAAAATATATAAAAGGCACAACAGTTCTGCACATAATGAGGTAAAATTGTTGATAACTAAGAGCACAGTTTCTTGTGTGATGCATGTTAATAAATTGCTTGAAAATTGCCTAAATTAAAGTACTTTGTACTTAGATCATAACTTTTATTTAATGGGAACATCCTTAGTGCATTTGAATTTCTCTCCCTTTCAAAATAGTAGGAATTTGATGAATATAGGTTGCAGCAAGATTAGCTTGACATAACCATAAATTGATTTAGCATTATTTTGATGTAAGAAAAAAAAAAAAAAAAACTGTGCACAGCAGTGCAGTTTATAAATATCTTGCACTGAATATCAAGTTTTAAGCTGTTAGAAAATGAGAAAAATGTTCAAAATCAGATTATTTTGCTCACCTGAGATCTGAATCTGCACGTACAAACTTGTATATGTTTAATTTGTTTCTTTTGTGAGCTATTGGACTTATGGCTTATGTGAACACTAAATTATTTTAAGGTTAATTAATATATACAGAGAACTTCAAAAAGCATATTCTAAGTCAATTTGGGCTTCTTTTATCATGTCAGGATTGCTTCCTTATATTAAATGATATCTCTTAAGGGCCATTCCCACTAGGGTTCATCTGAGCTAATGGAGACAACTGATGTAGCCAACCCATCTCCAAAACCAGATTTTTTTCTATAGGGTAGCAAGTTGAAAAATCTGAACTGCAGGCATAGCAGAGCTAGTTGACACATGGAACTGACTCCGTTAGCTGAGATAAAGCCCAGTGGGAATGGCCTTTTATGGCCATAGTTATATGTTTTAAGTATCATAATTATGAATCAGTTATTTATAGGTAGATCGTGGTGGGTTTCAGCAGTTAGACAGCAGAAGATTTAACATTTTAATCTGCTTAATTTCATGAAAGTTATACTTTCTAAGTTCACTCAGCTATGAACTTTTTCTTTTAAAACTCCATCTGAAATCTAATTTCTCATTCATTCTGGAGATCAAGCTTGAAATTTTATGTGAGCAAGTTTTGAATAAACTCTTGTACAAATTTCATTCGCCTTGTTTCTTCAATCTTGAGAAATTTCATACTGTATCAGCTTGTGAAACGTAAATCCTCTTTAAGTTATCTCTGGTGATATTTTTTTTCTTAAACTTTCTTGGAGATGTAGAAGTTGGCAGTTCTCATATAATTGATCTTGTCTTTACTTTGCTACTAGCATTTGTTTGATGATATATTAATTGTTTTATTGGCCCTTTTAATTGAGCATGCTGCCGGTTCAGTGTTTTGTAATTTGTTGTGGCATGCACATCGGTATATTATATCATTTTTTCATGAAATAGTCAATATTAGCATAAAATATAGAACTACAATTAATAAAGAATATAATCCCTGATTCTATGAGGTTCTTCTAATTAAGACTGAAGAAGTGTTAGGACACACATTATCAACATGATTTTAGGAAGATTTTTGTACCAAACCACATTTTGTTAAAATCGATTAAAAAAAAAAAAAAAAAAAAAAAATCGACGATGGATATCACAAAATGTGGTAATACAGTCAAAGAAAATGTTGCTAAATGCAATCTTGAAGATATTCCAGTGCTAGATAATGGTAAATAGACAAATTATTTGCCAAAATATTTTGGCACCTTTCTGAGGCTAATGAGAAATTATCCTTTGTAGCTTACTGTTGGTTTTTGTGTCAGTGATATGTAGTAAGTGAAGTAATTTAAGTATTAACAAGCAACCTTTTAAATGCAAATTTTTCGAATTAAAGTTTACAGAACAAATATGCTGTATTTAAAATTCATTGAAAAATAAACATACTAGCTTTTATTTAATTTCCAAGAATTATAAAAATCCAAGTGAATATTCATCATTGTCTTCTTTATTTCTTAAATATTGTGGATTGAATCTGAAGAAACTAGATTGCTTATTAAGCTGTTTAAAGCTAGGTAATCGTCTTTTGTACTGCTACTTTTCTAAGCATAACTTAAAAGTGCCATACTGTATGCATAGACACTTGCCGAATGTTAATGCATTTATGAATTCATCTTGAGCTTCAGTAGACCTGTAAAACTTCTAAGCTAAAGTGTAATTAAAGCATGATAATTGTAATTTAAAAAATTATATAGTAGTCTTAACAAATTGCATAGTAGTAATTTCTTAAACTGAAAATATGAAGTACTAAATGCCAGCATGATAATTTTGAAAGTATTTTTTTCTAGTTTTTATCTCACTTTAATTGCTAGTTTTCAAAGTATATGTATATATATTTTATTTTACATTACAGAGTCATCTCCTCTCACTGATGCTAATGAAATGAAATTTGAAAGAAAAGGTATTAAATTTTCTTATTCATTTAGAGTAGGTTATTGTACCACAGCTTCTTCTATCTAGTTTTTTAGAAATAAATTTGAAGTTTTACACTTGCTGAAGTAATTCAACCATATGGATATTAATTATTTAAAGCTCAAAGGATCCTGCATTAAATTCATGTCTTAATTTTGGATGAAATGCTTAGCTAATGTATTCATGCCTCCTCCTTTCTCGGCCTTCCCAGATAGCTCTTCAGGTCTATTGAAACCTGACGCACACTTTAGTCTTCTTAGAAATTTTTCTTTTAATTTATCTCTTATTTTATTTCTATTCTTATAATTTAAAAAAATGTTTAAACATGATTTAATTATATATATATAATTCTAAGTATATACTAGTTACTCATGACAGTATTCAAAATAACATATCTGTTTTACAAGGGATAGGGTCCTTGACCCAGGCACCCTGGTGCTACACCGTTTCCCCCAGTGTATTCATGAGATTTTGATAAATGAAATTGTTGAGTTTATTACAAATTGTTTAATTTGTCAGATCCCACTTTGTTCGAATTCTGGATCTTTCCCATTTTAGGGCAACACATGCCAGTTATATTTCAGTGAGTAAACATATTTTTGTAGTCAGCTTATTTTGATTATGGTAAAATTTTCAAACGAACAAAAATATATTTTATTTTTTTCCCCCCAATGGAAGAATGAAATAGAATGACACATTTAAAGTAATTGTTGGCAATAATTACTTCGAAAACAAGAATTTTGTTATAAGTGATAAGAACCCAAAATGCAACATTGGCACACATATCTTTTAGAAAACTATTTCGCATGTGGTTTTCTATAATAGAAAAGGTCTAGAATTTGAGTAATAAATGTATTTTATCGTGTGCTATTCTGTTTGATTTTCCCATCTACAATCTGAATTTTTGTTTTCTCCGAGGTGTTTTTTGTGAAAAAAGTGGTTAGTATTTATGAAGGGCTTTGTGTGTTTAGTGCTGGAATAGTCATCTGGCAAACTCAACATTGCTAATTCCATTTATAGAGGTTTCTGAATTTTAAATACCTGTGTGAACGGTATCTTAGAAAACACTACCCACCCCTTTTGCCAGTTACACTCAATTAAAATTGTAGGTGTTCCTTTAAAAACATATATATTCTTTCTAAATGACAGAAGATACTTTTATAAGTGCTTTCCAGTAGCCTAATATTTTTGCATTTTGGAAATTCTTTGTTTTAATATTTACCAATGATACCCAATTTATATTTGCATATAATTAAAAGGCAATTCAGTTAGGCTTTCTTTCTTTTCTGTTTGAAAAATATTTGCAGAACAAGTTTTAACAACTTGATATGTATATGGGATTTGCCAGAAATTCTTACATTTTTCAAATATTCAGAAAAACTGAAAGAACTACCATATCTGAATGTGGTTTATAAACAAATTATTTTTATAAAAGGGCATTTTTCTGGCAACAAAAAGTGCTTTATTTCTAGTATTAATTAATAAAAGGTGCTTTAAATGGCAGAATTCTGTGCTAAACTCAGGTAAATGTTTTCAAGCATATTATAACACTGATTATTCTATTTGCTCGTTACACTTTTCAAGTGAATGCGAACATTATTTGTTAAAAGCATATAACAGTTATCCAGTTTGGTGCAGGAGGTTTTGTGGTAGTATTTTGTAGCCCCACTTAAAAAAGCACTTCAGTATGCACAGGTCTTTGAATTACCACACAGCCGAAAGTCAGTTTTGTCAGAATTATTTAGCAAGGGATAATTTATTTTTGAAGTAATGGCTAATTAAGTAGTCTTTGTTATATGTGCTTGCCAAGAACTACTTTACTGGAGATAAAATATGAGAAAGTGCTTTGTCTTGCATGAAGCTTATACACAAAGAAATTATATTCCATTAAGCATAACATCTTTCATATCTAGCAGTTGCAGGTAGCATTTTGCATTAACCCTTTGTTGCATACAAAGAATCTAGAAAAGTTAAACAAAAATGTTTGTATTTTTTCTACTTAAAATAACCTTAGTAATAATAATAAAAAAATATTTTTATTCAAATTTCGTTTTAAATAATTGCTACAGTTTGTTCACTACTGTGGACAGCATGCATATACATACATGCATACAAATCTCTTCCCAGTGATTTACGGTCATTGCATTTGAAATCATTTTCTGCCTTGTTTGCAGTGATCATTACCATCTTCTAAATGGTAAATCAACAACTGACATGTACATACAGATCCCCCCAAATACCTTCATTTCATCGATTGTGATTGAATTCATTTTACTATGAATTTGTAACTTGTACCTATTGGATTCAAATGTCAAATGTTCTAGAAATTCCTTGCCAAACATAAACATTTCTAGTGGTGTTTTGGCTTGATAAGCAGTGCATTTGGGTTTCAATTTGTTTTCAATTTTCTCAAACTGACATTTAAAATAAAATGTCTAAAATTACAATTTTAGAATAATGCTAAATTATTGCTGACCTTGCATCGTTATTTATATCTGTGCCAAGCGCATTAAAAACATGCTGCCTTTTGTCAGTCAATTGTGAGCTGCTGACCAATATCACTTGCCATCCACAGGACACGATCTTTAACAGTATTTCTGCTAAGCGGCATATCAGCGATGCATTTTAAAATTTTGTCCTTATTTGGAAAGTCATAAAAGAGGGAATTACTCCCAAACAACATGACCTCTTTGATTAAATTCCCATCAGATAGCTGCTTACCATGTTTTGCCAGGCACAGTGAAATTTGAAATCTGGATGTTGTTAGATGGTCTGTTTTAGAAAGATAATTGTAAAAACCAACTTCCTGTACTTGTAATTCCTCAATTTCTCTTCAATAAACACCTTCTCTTCAGCTTCATCAAGTTCGGCAACAATCTTGTGGTTGTCGGCAACAATCTTGTGGTTGGTGTTAAAGTGATGTGTGACACACAACACTTTCCCCGCACAGAATAAATAAACCAACTTTCTGTAATTATAATTTCTCAATTTCCCTTCAATAAACACCTTCTCTTCAGCTTCATCAAGTTCGGCAACAATCTTGTGGTTGGTGTTAAAGTGTCGTCTGACACTAGATGTGCGACACACAACACTTTTCCTGGACAGAATAAATAATGCTTTCCTATTGTGTTCAAGAATTCCAAATGATTCTGTCCAGGTCTTTTGAAATGATCTCTCACTATCAATGTTTAATTTGGCCTTTTTTGCTGGAGTTATTTGTGAGGGTTCATAATCTAGAGTATAAAAAGCACAGAATTTAAAAATTAAGCGTTAAATATGAATTGATCGTATACTAAAAAGAGGTAACATTATTTTAGCCAGTAGTAAGGAATTGGATTTTCATGTATCAACAATCTATGGCTGCAGATTCAAATATGAACCCAAACTTTGTAGTTGCTTGTTCATTACAAACAGTAACAGCAGTAACCGTTAACCCGAACATTTCTTTGCTAAACTTCAAAGATTTCATATGCTCCTTTTCAGCTTTATTGGGTTTATTGTGGCTGAGCACATGTAAATAAGCTTGGTTTCCCTACTAAGCTTTTGTGTTTTGCTGTATTATCAAATTCCATGTTTTTACATTATATTTGTACATTCCATTTAAGATATTAAATAAAAATTATTACATCCTCTGCAAATTGAATTGAAACAGAAATTCACCCTCTTTAGAATAAATAACAGTAAGCAACTTCAAATGTTCAAGCCCAAGTTAAAAACAAAAGAATAAACTTTCGAAACGGTACTCGCTAAATGAATGAAGAATCTTGTTGAATTAAACTGTATAAAACTCTGCAAAAGTTGCAGATATATACTTTAAACTCGACAGTAAAAACTCACCTATTCACAGGTACAATATCAGGGCCGATTAGGTGTACTTCAGACAGATGTTGTTGAGCATGTATTCCACATTGAAAAGTAAGGTGTGTAATGAAGTTGGAACACTCGAAGAACACAAGACCCATTATACTTCGAAACCCAGGCGATTGAGTAACATAGCACCATCTGTTGAAGAAATTGTGAAGTAAATGTTGAATCAAAAGAAAACATGTTCGAAACATAAAGATAATTAAATACAGAGAAACCCAAACAAAAGTTAAAGTTATTTGAGCTAATAAAAATTATTGCCCCCCCAAAGACTTTAATTGCTCTTGAAAAAAATTTGATAGTAGATTTTATTCTCGAAGTATAGAATTCATTCTTCACAATTCCTATAAGTACAGGAATCTATGTCTCATGCAATGATCTTCCACTATTAGTGTTTAATTTTGCCTTTTTTGCCAGAGTTATTTGTGAGGAATCAAGACCTGGAGTATAGAAAAGCACAAAATTTTAAAATGAAGCATTAAATATAAATCAATCACATACTAAAAAGAGGTAACATTATTTTTAGCCAATAGTAAGGAATTGGATTTTCATCAATCAACAATCTATGGCTGCAGATTCAAATATGAACAGGGGAACAGCAGTAACCGTTAACCCGAACAACTCTTTGCTAAACATCGAACTTTAGATTTCATTTGGGCTTATTTTGGCTGAGCGCATGTGAATAAGCTTGCTTTCCCTACTAAGCTTTCGTGTATTATCAAATTCCATGTTTTTACATTATGTTTGTGCATTCTGTTTAAGATATTAAACTAGAATTATTCATAAGTTATCTCAAAATGTGTAGATCTGAAAACTGGAATCTATTTAAGAATGAAAGTATTGGAACTCGCCTGCAGTCTGCAATAAATTTGAATTCATTTAACAAACATTAGCTGCTTCAACTTTGGTATATTCTTTGCCATGTAACAAGTAATATGATTGGCCCAAACAATTGAAATGTCATAAATTGGGTCAAGAAATATGTATATAATTTCTAGCGATATATAAAAATCTGATATCGAGGCTTAGAAACATTCAAGAACAGACAACTACTTAATTGTGATTATAGATTAAGAAAGTAATGTTTTAGTCGTGTGCCTGCTGATGAGGCTCTGCTTGCTGACTGTGGCACACGTGCCATAGGTGGTTTACCGTCACTGCCTTATATGGTTATTTTAGATACTTACTGATGGGGGCAAATGAACTAAGCAATGTAATTTTTTTTAAAAAAAATTTGTAACTTAATCACACAAGGAAATAAATTCTTTTTACTAAACAAATACTATGATTTTTTTTATAACCCTTAATAATGAATTAGGATGCTAAGAATATCTTTCCATCTGTCTGAGTTTAAAGCCTTTAAAGCCAAGATCTTTAAATTCTTGTTTTTGAAAAATTAGCATATTTTCATTTCTTGAAATTTTCCATCTTTAATGCAAAGATAGTCTGTTTTGGTGAAGAAAATTCCAGGAAGACAACTGTCCTGCTCTCCTGCTAGCCTTATAGTTTTCATGTGCCATGCAATTAATCAAAACTCAGTCCAGTCAAAAATATGACAGTTTCATTAAAATTCAGTTTTGTATTAAATATTTAATAAAATTTGCATTTATCTTCTAAATTATTATCAAATTATTTCTTTATCCATGAAATATGTATAGTAAAACTTTTTCTGTTCAGGCTGTATTAAGTAATATGTAGAACAAGTGTCACCAAAACTTTGATCATGAGCTATTAATAGGTACCCGCACCATTTTTGGTAGGTCATTAAAATATTTTCCTTTTAAACTAGTATTAAAACCAATATAATAAATACTTGGTTGTATAATAAATTCAAATTATAATTCATGAGACAGGTAATAAATAATACTGTAGCAATAAATTGCTTTAAAATTGAAATTATTTTATTTTATCATGAATTATACAGAATTGAAAAAGTTTTGTTTCATAGAAATTTCATCAGAAGCAGCAGGAAGTTTCATCTTAGATATTTTTTCAAAGCATTCATCATTAATGCTATGCACAACTTGCTAACAAATGAGTTAGACAAACACCTAATAGTCCTACTTTATTTCATAAATTTGTAAAAATGCTTTATATAGGCAGGTAGTTATCAAATAACTTCAAATTTTAGAATATTGCACTTGTGTATAGAGGTCAGTCATAATGGTATGAGTGCATAATAATGCAATATAGAATACTGTTATTAATGTTGTATTAATGTGGAATATTTTAGGCAAAGAAGTTGTAAGAAAACCAAGCACATATGCTTGAATTAAAGAACTTGGGAGGAAGCGGGTGCTAACATAAGGAAATCCCCTACATTAGGGGAGAGGGAGATGTTAGAAGTGATTTGATCGAAGGAGTGTTGGAGGGAGAGAGAATCACTAGAAGGAGGTAAATGGGAGACCAACAATGGGGTACCAGGGATGGGGGTAGGAATTTTAGCGTCAAAGAGCATGGCCATACGAAATTTTAATGCAAATTTGTAAGTATGAAAGTAAAGAAAGAAGAGTGCAATCCTTTTTGAACTCTACCCCTGCTGATATAATTCTAGCTGTCAAGCAGAATGTGACAGAGATAAAAATATTCTCTAAATTGTCCTCCAAAGTCCGGGTAGTAAATTGAGAAAAAAAGTAAGGTTCTGTGCAAGTGAAAATTTTTTTGTTCCCTGTATTTAAATTCTCCAAAGGTTCCACTTCTAGTATATTCAGGAACTAAAAACCTGCTGTCATAAATTTAAAAACTTCTTGGAGAAAAAGCCTTTGACGTGGGTGGCACGGCTTTTCTATTCTCTGAACTTGATTATGAATGGCTTGATCTCAATTTGATCATCAAATCTCAAAAAATGAGAAGCACTGGAGCTGGGCTTCAGTGCAGTTTAAGCTCTGTTTCATCAGAGTGAAGTATGAAACTCATTTTTTAAAATTGGTTATTTTGAATTTTCTTAGTATTTAGAACATGATATAATGACCCACTGTCAATTCTATGCATTTTTATTGTGCTATAAAACTGATATAAATTAAAGAAGTATAGATTTTTTTTTTTTTTTTTTTGTATTATGAACTAATGAAATATTCCTTTACTGCCCATATACCAAATGTTGGGCAAACGCAATAGATTTTAGACAAGTTACTAGGATTATTTCTTATTTTAAACTCAACTGAAACCAATGTTGTTTAATATATGTATTAGTGCATATTAATGAACTTAAACTTCATTAGCAATCAAGTGGATATATTTGCAAATAATACTATACTTTGAGTGAAATAAATATTGATTACAACTATTTTTTTTTTTTTTTAACTTTGTGCAGCTTAAATATTACTAAAGTAGACAGCAGCAAGTGCATGGAGCTAACAGTCATAGCACTATCATAGGTATTCTCATTACCCATATAAAAAAAAAACTGATAACCTTGTAAACCATATAAATCCTTTGCCGAGTTTCTCAAAGACATCTTAGTTACATGTAGTACTATTAAAATGGTGCACATTCATTTACATGTTCATTAATTAGATTGCAAAACAGGTTTTTATGATAGGGTTCACACTTTGTTTTACTAGCATACAGGAGTAAAAATAAAAATGTTTTTCGTAATATTACATATATATATTGAATTATTATGTATGGCATAAGAGAATTCTCCTATAAACAGGTTTAAACTCCAGAAACAAAGTTTTATTAATTTTATTGATATTCTAAAAACTGTTATCGAGTATTTCAGTATTAACAAGATGTATGGTCATTTGCATATTCATCAGTTAAATTCAAGTCAATTCTTTCCATTTGGTTTCGAGTTTTATTTTATTTATTAATATATTTACAGTTGTAAAAATAAGCACCTATATATTTTGAATAAATGCATTTAACAAACATTTCAAAGCTTTTCTTTGTAAAGATTCATAAAATGTGTACGCTCTTTTGAAAAAAAATCGAAGCACCAAGAACTTTTGCGATCGAGACGAAATTTGGTATGCAAAAACATCTTGATCGAACATGCAAATGATCAAACTTTCAAAGCAAATGAACAGGAATTTTGATCATAGTGCACAATTCACAAAGTATAAAACCAGTAACAGAGGTGGAAAATGTATCTTTTTTTTGTTGCTGCCATTGTAATTTCGCAAAGCAGCAACTAAAGATGGCATTACTACAGTATCAAAGACCTCACAGACAACTAAACGACTTCGAATGTGGTTGCATTGTGGGATTGCGGGAAGCTAGATGGTCATCCCGAGCGATAGGCCGCCACCTGCAGTGTACAGACCCTGCTGTGCAAAGATGTTAGCAGCAATGGTTGTTACAAGGAAATTGCTGACGAAATTAAGGCTGGGGAAGGCCAAGGAGCACAAATGCGAGGCAAGGTAGAATGATTGTTCGCCAGCCCAACGATATCATTGTCAAATATTCAATGCATTACAGCTACGTCTATACCTCCCGAGGTACTGTCCACCATCTCACGACGCTTGTCTGAGACGGGGTTACGCTGACAAACGCCTTGAAGACGTTTGCCTTTGACCCCACAACATCGGTGGAGTTGTCTGGAGTGGTGTTGTATAGTGTTCAGCGATAAATCCCACTTCACTCTTGAAGCAGATGACCACCGTGTTCGTGTCTGGAGAGGACAGGGCCAGCATTCCCAATCAGCCTTTGTTTTACCAATGCATACAGCCATAACCCCTGGTGTGATCGTGTGGGGCACTATTTCTTATGACAGCAGGTCATCTTTAGTCATCCTCCATACATCTTTAACAGCTCAACAATATGTTAATGTCATCCTGCAGCCAGTTGCATTACGCTTCATGGCACATCATCCTGGGGCCATTTTACAAGATAATGCCAGGCCATATACTGCTTGCATATCTGTGGACTGTCTCCATGCAGTTGATACTCTTCCTTGGCCATCAAGGTCACCAGACCTTTCACCAATCAAGCATGTCTGGGGCATAGTAGGCTGCCAGATTGTGGCACCACAAAATATCGCAGATTTGGAGCGACAACTGATGAATGCCTGGCAGAATGTGTCACAGGATGCCATTAGGTACCTCTACCACTCCTTGAATTGATGAAATCAAGCACGCATTGCCCCCAGGAGCGGTTCGACCAGCTACTGATTTGAACATTCAATGGGTGATTGTGAGCCATGAACAGGTACTAGGACCTTGATTTTTCAATCATTTTGTTATCTGTATATGAGCTATACCTATATTCAATTTCATCCAAAACAACCACTTCCGTTATGGTGCTTCGATTTTTTTTTGCAAAAGAGCATATTTTAAAAGATTATGGATCCTGTTTAGAGTAAATATTTCAATATATGGTTTTTATTGATTTTCTTATCATTTGAATTTGCTTTTCAGATAACCATTTTAGATTCCTTTCTGTAAGTGTTGTTACTGTCCTTGCTGCTGTAGTTCTTATCTGGATATGCATGAATTCGGAACTGGTTTCCACATATTTTCCTGTGTTGGACAATGCAAATGCTAAGAAAATACTAGATCATCTCAAGAAGACAAGAGTAAATTTTGTGTCAGCTCTTCCGGAATCATTCCATGATTTCACTCATCAATTTGGACATTTCTGTAAATTGTTATACATAGATATCAAGGAAATTTTTTTAAATATTGTTCATAAGGTTATGATTAAAGTGACTGAAACATTTTCAAACATTGAAATGTTTGTTAGCACATTGAACTAAAGATAATTTTGTATGAATAAAACATAGAGAAAAGCTACAAAGAGTTTAATTTTTTTTGGTATTATGTAATTACATGTATTTGTATTTTAAGCATATGGATTTCATTCTGAACTCTCTTCACTCCAACCAAAATCATCACTTTCATGATTTGAAGCATATTATGATTACTTTTTCATATATTCTGCAAAAATAAAACAATCTTAAAAACATATATTGGTAAATAACATTACATGCTTCTTCAAATCTGTTTAGTTTTTGTTCAGTGATAATGAACAAGCAAGTGCAAGGTTTGGGTTCGAAGTAAAGACAGGAATCGCTATAACAGCGCCTTCGTAATCCAAGGCATTGCATATGCTGAAAGCACGGCAAAGGGGTAAGAGAGATTCACATCCGTAGGCAGAGCCATTAGTAAGTGATATTTCAGTAGGAAACACTAAGAATCCGTTTTCTGAGATGCACAGACTTGAATCTGGTCGTTTCACTTGTTCGATGAAGAATCTAACAATCTGTTTCACCTCGTGGTCGGTGCTAGGGTTAGCAACCAAATTACGAAGAAGTCTTGACAATTGGGCTTGGCCCTGTAATGTTGAACTTTCATGTTCCATACTGCGCAATTTATCCTTCAAATACAAAATTGACGTATCTGTCGTAACGTCAGTTGTGGGATTAACTTGCTCTGGAGGACACCACGTGGGTGGCTAATGATAATATCAAATTGCGTTTCATGAGGAACAACATCTGCAGTTACAGCAGAGTAGTCTGGGAGATCAGCCGAGGATAAATTCGGCATAGAAGTTTCATCCAACATTTTGCTCAGTGTTTTTGCACAGAAATACTGGAGACATTGGTATTCCGCATCCTTCACTCAAAAGTGCATCCACTTTCTATCAAGTCCACCGGCTCTTATCAAATGGCAAAGCTAAGCGATATGACTTCACAAATTGGGTTTGTCGAAAATCGATGACAATCCAAAATGGCTATTCAATATCTTGTGGACAGATGAGGCTCATTTTTCATTGCATGGAACAGTCAACACCCATAACTGTGAAGTCTGGGCAAAGAAGAATCTACATAGGTTTATACTGAGGAGCCCCTACATTCACCGTGTTTAATTGTTTGATGTGGTTTCACTGCATCCATTATTGTGCGTCTTTTTTTCTTTGAAGAGCGCTATGCAAAAGCTGGCTGGAAAACCTGCTCAATTACTGCAAAACGATGTCTTTGACTTAGTGATGTTCATGCAAGACGAGGCATCTCCTCATATCAAAATCGAAGTGAAGACGTTCCTAAGAAAAACTTTCACTGAAGAGCAATTAAAGCCATCACTGTAGAAATGAGTGGCCTCTTCAGTCACCGGACAACACCACTGAATTTTGTCTTTGGAGTTATGTCAAGTCCAGAAAGTGCCGCAATAGCCCATCTTTTTTGGTGAAGTTAAAGAGAATGCCATTCGCCACGAAATCTCTTGCATGCATTTGGATATATACATACTGCACTTAATGGTGTTGTAACTCGCTTAAAAACTGTAATTTGTGGTGATGGCAGACTCATAAAATAAGAGTGATTTGCTTGTAAACATTTGCTCTGTCGATGAAATTTTAACTATTTTTTCTGCTCCATAAAAATCCCGCTTCACGATAATAACTTTTTTGGAAACCGCATTCAATTCTACCAATTCCTTCAATTTTTATGAATTTTAAAAATATTTATGTATTTATGGGACACCCTGTCCAATGATTTTCATAAAAATTTGAATATCAGAGGAATCAGTTTGAATATTCAGATTGAAATGTGTCTGATCATTTTCTATGAATTAGTGAAAAATTAGTATCAACTTTATTACTTTTCCTTGAGATTTTCGTATACATTGTTTTAGAACACCTTTATTTCTGAGAAATACGAGGGCTATCCAGAAAGTAGATTACGTTTTGGAATAAAAAAATAAACAAAGTATAGGAAACAAATTTTATTATATACAGATGAAAGCCACACTCAAATACTACTTTTCTACATAGTCACCATACAATTAAGGCATTTATCGTAGCGATGTACGAGCTTGGAAATTCCTTCGTCGAAAAATTCGGCCGCCTGCGCCTTCAACCACTTCGTTACCTCTTCTTGCAGCTGTGCGTCGTCATCAAAACGCTGCATAGCCAGCCACTTCTTCATTGCTGGGAATAGGTGGAAGTCGCTCTGTGCCAGGTCGGGACTGTACGGCGGATGAGGAAACAACTCCCACTTAAAAGATTCAAGAACTTTACGAGTGACATTTGCCGTGTGGGGCCGGGCGTTGTCGTGAATCAACAAGATCTTAGAGCTCAACATTCCTCTGCGCTTGTTTTGAATTGCTCTTCTGAGTTTTTGGAGAGTTTGGCAATACCTTTGAGAGTTTATTGTAGTGCCTCTTTCCAGAAGTCCACCAAAAATTACACCTTTTCTGTCCCAAAAAACAGTCGCCATCATCTTCCCTTGCCGACATTGTTTGCATGCATTTCTTGGGTTTTGGGGAGAACTGTGTGCCCCCACTGCATTGATTGCAATTTCGTTTCACAGTTTCACATGTTTCACCCATGTTTCGTCACCAGTAACGATGCGATCGAGTAAAGAGTCACCATCCTTATGGTAAGCGTCCAAAAAGTTCAACGCTGCAGCCATTCGCTGATTTTTGTGGTCCTCTGTCAAGATTTTTGGAATCCATCTTGACAAAAACTTGTGGTAAACCAAGCTTTTCGCTGATGATTTCGTGCAACAAACTTCGCGAAATTGTGGAAAACTCAAAGAAAGTCCGTTATTGTGAAATTTCGATTTTCACGGACTTTAGCATCGACTTTTTCGAGAAGTTCGGCGGTCACTATGCTGGGTCTCCCACTTCGATCTTCGTCGTGAACATTGGTTCGGCCATTTTGAAATCTTATGACCCACTGACGCACTCCACCTTCAGTGATAATGTTGTCCCATACACTTCACGAAGCTGCCGATAGATTTCTATCGGTTTACAGTTTTTTGCAGTCAGAAACCTTATTACTGAGCGCACCTCGCAGCTCGTGGGATTTTCAATTAACGCAGACATTTCAAACCGTCACAGTATCTGAGCGGAGCACAGCACAACCTCTCATAGCACGGCTAGATGCAGACTGAGCTGCGCAACGCTCTGACCCCAAGATGGCCGCTAGCCCGCCCCTAGCGGACACAGACGGAAACGTAATCTACTTCCTGGATGGCCCTCGTAAATATATTTTGCATATGAACACTTTAGTCTGCACTGAATATTTTGAAAATTGTTGTGACTTATCTCACTTGGCTGAGTGTAACATTAAAACAGGCCCACGAAATTCATCATGGCATGGAAGATTGCGCCTGTCGCTGGCAAGAGCATTGAGTGCCATACATGTGACAGTATGACTTCGCTCAGTTCCACCTTCAGTTCTGATGGAGAGCAGTCCGGGGAATGGGTATGAGGTCTTCTTTCCCTCTTCCCCTACTACCACCTCTCGAGAGGACTTTCGGGTCTCCACATATTTAGACAGGGTTCGTACAATCCTTAAAAGTCCTTAATTTTTTCAAAAATGATTTTTGGTCCTTAAAAGTCCTTAATTTTGGCCAAAATGAATAAACGGTCCTTAATTTTGCTCATTTGACATTTCTTATCATTTTGCCATGCATCTATCATTTGCCTTATTATGATTGCCATTCTAAGTGTGAATTACGATTTCTCATGAATATGGAATTAAAATTACACGGCTCTTAACCGATCTGTTGGCGGATTTGCGTTGCAAACGATAAAAAAATTAATTACCTAGCCTAGAATGAAAGTATCGGGGTCTGATTGGCTATTCACCCAATGTTTTCGAAACAGGTGTTATCCATAAATTTAGGCAGATTGTGACGAAAGCGTGAAGCCTGAAGTTCTTTAAGAGGCGAAAATGATGATGAAGGTGCTCGAAAAAAAAAAGGGGGGATTCTGAAAATATTTGCCAAAATTAGAACAATTCCCAACCTGGAAGCCCACAACCCTCCGATGCCAATAGGAACGAGATGCCTGGAAGTGCATTTTCAATAAATGTGGCTTCATCAAGCTGACTACAAAGACTGGATATTGATGGATGGCAATCCTTAAATGTGGTCTTTGTCTGAAACAAATTGAAATTTCTAGATGGGAGAGTCAGCACTGAAATTCACATGAAAATTAAGTTTGTTTATCATTCAATTTGTTTTTTACACAGTTTTGCTTAGCTTAATTTCTGTGTTTGTTCAATTAAGCCATAAATTTTTTTATCCCTTCTACGGAGTTTATTCTCTTTTGCACATATAGTAATATGTATGGGATATCGGGATTATGAGTTTTTTCTGCAGAGTGTCTGGTATTGATTTCGTGGAAATCTGTTGGCTCCCTTTCGATTTTAGTCGCCAAGGGCCAATTCGGTACGCTAGCCGAGAAAAAGTGAAGTTCGGAAATACGTTTTGAGCTTCAATAGCCAATTAAGTATTTTGTTTTAAACCTATGTTGGTTGATAGTAATGCATAATTTTGCTAATGGCGATACAATTATTAGTTGAAAATAACTAACTAATAAAAATTTTTTAATATTTTTAAAGCTGAAAACAACTAATTGAAAGTAATTTTCCTGAATTAACTAGACGCAAATTAGCTTTCATGAATTACTAAAGTTATTGGGTAGAAGTTTAACTGAACATATAACGTTTTCTGTATTATATATATATTTATACAGTACACAGTCCGAAGTCTGGAGTCGTCGGGACTTCGGCGATCCCAGATTTGAGATTTTTCCGGATATTAGATCATTTTAAATCTACTAAGATGGCCGTAAAATTATAAAATTGAAAATATGAAATCGTGATTTATGAAATAATGAAGAATTTATGATTTAAAGGGTATCAAAATTTACAAAAGAAATGAGCTTAATATTTATATGTTTACTTTATTAAACATTTCTTTCAATGTGAGTTGTTTGATATGTTTTCTCTGCTAATACTTTAGACTAATACTATAGATATATAATTTCTTGTTCAGTTATTAAGTT